GCGAAAAAAAATAATAAATACTAATGGCTCATTTTGAGAGACGGGAGCATATCATCATAAAAAAAAATTCTTTAAAATGAAAACGGTCTGATGATGACGATAACCAGTCGCGATTTCTTATAAGATTCAGCTTTTAAAATCATAAAGATTTAAAATAGGTCACCTTTTTCTTTTACCATATCTTCTATCTCCACTAAATCCTATAAGTACTTCAAACTAATCCACTTTAACCCTTGCTCTGGGGACCCTCACAGGAGCATTCTCAACTTCCTGGTGCTTTCTACTATGATGGAGTAACCCTCGACAGCTGCTGAAGTTCTCATGGCACTCACTGCACTCAAATGGCATCACTTGCTCTTTCCCATCACCGTGGACAGAAGAAACGTGTTTTTTCAACCTGTAAGGTAGTCTGAATCTCGCGGGACAGTACGAACAAGCGTGTTTTAGGACGATTTCAGTCTCTCTATGGCATTTCCTTATGTGTTCCGATCTTCTGGACGACGCTGAGAAGGATTCTCCACAGAACTTACACTTGTACGGTCTTTCGCCAGTATGTAAGCGCACATGTTGTTTATAACCCAATTTAGTTTTGAGAACAATGCCGCAATGACCACATTTGAAAGACTCATTCGATTCGTGCTTTTTCAGGTGAGTAGACATATGTGCTGCGGCCAACAACTTTCCACAGTAAACGCAAGGCCGATGCGTAGTTTTCATATGAACTATCTGTATATGAGCTGTAACGAATTTCTTTCCCGCAAACTTCTTTTTGCAGTAATCGCAAATACATTCCGTGTCTGCGCTACCTCTCAAACCGACTCTGATATTTTTATTTTTATTCTTAACTGTAATAGTAACTTTATTCTTTGTTTTATGCGTATCTGAGCGACTTTTATCTAGGTTACAGCATTTCTTCACGTGGTAATGGTAGCATTTCAGGTTTCTGAAGAGTTCATCGCAACCTGGACACGTTTTCGGAGCATGGACTGATAGATGGGCGTAGTACGCATGTTCGCTTTGGAAACTCCGTCCACATTCACCACATGTACAAGCCCCAGGCGCATGGGCTTGGGACAGATGCATTTTATACTGAGAAACATTATGAAACAAGGCCGGACACTTCTTGCAATTGTAAGGAATTATCATATGTTCATCAACATAATGTGAAATCAGTTCTTCCCTGGTCATGATCCCGGCACAAATGTGGCAAGCTCGTTGGTTGTCTGAAGATTCCTTCAAATGTTGATTCAAAAGTTGGGCATATAGGAACCGCTTGCCACAACACGGGCACTGGCATTTAGTGCCTTTAAGATTTGAGGTTCTAGCTTTCTGCTTCACTGGTCTCTCTTGGGGTGGTTCATGCAGTTCTAACTCTTTGAAACAGATGCTGTTTTCCGTTAGTATAGCAACGATTTTTGCGTCAGAGCTAGCTTTGGCCTGACTATGTATGCTGGTGAGGAGTTCTATTGTAGTATCCCATTGTAAAGCCGACCTGCGGCATTGAGTTCTGAAGTCTGCAGCTTGTAGGGCTGACACTGAGCATTCGGAGCACAGGCCTACAGGCAGGTCATCGTCCAGCCGCACCTGCAACCAGCATACTAGTCAAGCGGCCAATTAATTTTATTTCCGTCTCTAATGGGCAAAGGACCGTGGTTGTCCATTAATTCATAAATTATTTTTAGTAGTACATTTTTCCTATATCCCTAAGTACGCTTAAATCTTGGATTTTTTAATAGATAGAGTGATTGAAGAGGAAGGTTTATATGTATAATAACATCTATTAAATAGTGGAGAAGTTTAGTATAAGCACTGCTCTCTTGCAAAGTCGGGGCAGGTCGCTAGTCAATTCTAAAATTAATAATTTTTCAAAATATCTTTATTTATGTGTATGAGTTATATGCTGCAGTATTTAATTTTCAACTAATTGGAGATGTGAAAAACGACGACAGTCAATTTTAAAGAAGATAATAAATATATGTATATAAGTATAGTTCTATGTACTTTATGTAACATGTTTATAAAAACCTATGTTATACTCATAATATTCTATTTCGCTTGCTTCTTGCATCTAATACTGGATTCTCTGCTTCACCCAAAAGGTCGACTGGTAGAGAATGCTCAATGCATTAAGTCCGCCTTATGTACATACTAAATTGTGCATGAAGTATAAATAAATAAATAATTAAAAACAAATCAAAATAAACTAACTTTTCATAAGAATTATGTTTTTTTAAGGAAATATGTATAAAAAATATATATATTCTATCTATGCATAACAAAAAGTTGTGATAATTATTAATAATGAAATTTATTTTTTATTCATATACAGCTCAAACTTATATCCTGTCTCACGGTATAAGAATAAAAGTAAATGAAAATTTGTAGTAAGTAACTACACAATCAACGAGTATAGTTGACTGCACAGTTGATGTGTTTACTATCTGTTATGTATGGTTTAGTTATGTGGGTACTTGCTTACTTTGTTGAAATATAAAGTTAAGTATAGTGTAGGTAGACCTAATATTAATGTCACAGTCTTGATTGTCGTCATTACACGACAAATGCTACCTAGCGTGTTTTATTTACTCAAAAATAGACGGAACACAATACTATCCAACAGCTGCTGTGCAATCTGTTTGATTCCTATACAGATCATGTCTTTGCGTGATCCACAAATACTTATCGCGGTAAGTACGACATTTTTAAATGGAAAAAAGAGATAATATTTTTCTTAAAATTTTTATGTAGTTATCACAAAATTGTTTTACTTTATGACTTATGTATGCCAGTCTCATTTGCTTAATTTTCAAATATCATTATGTAGATATGTAATTCTTCAAACCCAAGTAAATGATAGCATTCACACACTTAGGGCTGAGTTTTCAATAGTCAGATAAATGTTATCTGAAGAATAAAATTGTTGCTGTCACTGTCTTATGCAAACATTCTGACGAGACAGCATCATAATTATTCCCCAGGTAACTTTTATCTGACCATTAAAAATGTATGTACATATATGTCTTTATTAGGATATTTTGTTGATTTTTGGGTATTATTTTATAATGGCAGAGTTGTGGTGTGAAGGGCTAAGGATGTTCATCAGTGTATGTACCGAAAAAGCACAAGACCATTGTGTGTAATTCATTTAACAATTAATCAAAAATTACTATTTATTGTCAACATAATTTTACAAAGTGAGTTAGAAGCGGTCGAAAAAATATCGTAATTTTAGCCAGTGAGAATCTTTAGGTTCCATAAAAATAGATAATTTGATGTCATTAAACAAGAATTAACGAGTTTAACGCCTATATTTTTCAGTTAGACATGTCAGATTCTTATTTTTCAGACGACATAACCTAACTATCCCCGTAAACGGTCCATTGAAACAAGAACCCAATTTTTTAACTTTCGACTTAATATTTCTGCATATCAGGGCAAACTTTAACTATAAGTAACTGTTTGCTTATACCTAATAGAATAATCAAGCAAATAACATCAAAGGAGATAATAAAATATTTAAATATTAATTTTATATCATTTCGACACAGCAAGTCGGCGCCATCTTGATATCAACACGGCGGGAAGACGCCGTTCCGTTTTACACAGAAAATAAACAAACCGTTTGATGTTATGCTTGATATTATGCAAAATGAATGTCAATAAAGGTACCTGTACTCCCGTAATGACTTCCAGAATCTCAGCAAGCGTCAGGGGCTTGTCTCCATCCATCATTACAGTGTCTTCTAAATGAACTTGGCCCTCGCTCGTGTCACCCATACAAATTCGGCATCTATCTAAGCCATCTCCACGCACTATATGGGACACTAACGCCTTTATATCCACTTGCCGGCTCATTTTTGGTATTTTACTGAAGAATCTACAATAATTCAGTAGTATTTCTATGAGTTTCTTTATAAATAAATTCTTTACGTCACATGCGTAGCCGAAGTTTTGTGAAACTGAATTTGACGTTTCATTTGTTGTAGAGATGGCCAAGTGATTAATCGATTCATAGCTTAATTATATCGATAATCGCAATTACATTCACATTCGATCAGGTTATTTTTTACGACGTACATTTTTTGTAGTACATTTCTTGCGGGCAATTATGCAATTTATTATAAAATTAGCGTGAGGACTAAAAAGTGTGAGCTTTAAAAAGTCTACAATTGCAATAATTACATTATATGAGCCTTGATGCCTGAAAATAATGGCAAATAAGTAAATAAATAAAGTAGGCGTTATTAATATATACATAATATTTCAATTTTCCTAAAGAAAAACAATGATTTTTCAGTCAATATAGACAGCATCTTCATAGTGTTCGTTTCTTCGAGTTGGCGGTAGAACACAAAAAGTAAAAAAAATACTTTGAGCTCAGCGGTCAGACTGAGGTTTTCCGACTTTGATACTTATTGATCGAAGGAAACCCTTCGATCAATAAGTATCAAATAATAATCCGAAATGCTTATTCCCAAAAGGCCGGCAACGCACTCGTAACTCCTTTGGCGGCGATTGCTTAACATCAGGTAATAAGTCAGCTCGTTTGCCGACTTACTCCAAAAGGCTGCAATCTGTGATCCTACTTCCTATTAATATTATAAGCATGAAAGTTTGTGAGAATGTATGTTTATTATTCTTTTACACAAAAATTTGGTATGTAGATAGGCAGAATAATTGTAAGTTGTAACTATTAACTTGTATATCGATTAATCCGGTTAATTTAAATCAACATATGATCGCTTCAGTACATCTCTAAAAGAATCCGTTCCATTTCTCTCCAACGGCCAATCAGAATCACGTTTAGTTACTACATCAAAACTTCTAATACTCCTCATAAGAGATAAGATTCTCCACCAAATTGTAAATTCTGTCACTGTCGAGGAATTTATAACTTAAACTATTTATGTTTTTTTCAACTGAATATAAAAATCTTTCAAGGAACCTTTCAAACAGTTGTGAAGTTTGAAAATGGTGTATAATTTTCTGTAAAATTTTACCCGTTTTATGGAGAATCTGTTTTTAGCAAAGTATGACAACTCTGTGAATCAGCTGTCAAAGTCATTCATTTTTTGTTTGTGGAAAATCTTAGTCAAAATGGTAATTCAATTTAATTTTTCTAATATAATCCTTGATTATTTTGTGTTTTAATTAGTGGTATCTAAAACTGTATGATATAAATTATACGACCGCATTTATATTTCGTGTGTTGTCTGTGTATTTAACTGTGAAAAGTGGTTTTAAATCTCGAAGGGTTATCTTTCCAGAAATATTTGTGTTCTGGTGGATTTTATTGCAATTTAACGATAAATACTGCTGATATGGGTATGAAAGAGTGTCCTGATCCTCTTAAGTAGTGTAAAAATGATCATAATTGTGTATTTCATTGATAAAAAGCATGACTTTAGTCTTTCCGGCGTATATTTGATGTTCAATTGTCATTGTCTATGAAGAATGATTTTAGAAAACAACTGTTCATGTGACTTGAGATAAAACTTTCAAAAAGTTTACATGAAACCTTTTTCGTTGATTTAATTAGTAGATATACTTAAAAATTGCCCTAGGAAGGCAAAATTTTTATAATTTCTTTACTTTTTATCACAAATATTGAAGAATATTTTTTCTGCTCTATAAAGCCTTAAAATACTTAATAAAACTTCGAGAATCTTATAGTTAAAATAATATTAACCTAGCTCATGAGAATAAATACTCTGATTACTATATGGGAAGTCTAATATTCAATAAGAGTTTTTGTAATTGTAGGTTACTATGCTAGTCATCATACTGACTAGTAAGCCCTTAACTAACCTTTGCAGAGTCCTTTTAAATTATTAATTATTTGATTAATCCATAAATTAATGTTTACATGAAAGAGCACAAACTTTATCCAGTAAATTTTCCCTAAAAATTGTTCTGATAGGAGAGTTAATAACAATAGCAGAATCATCTGCACTCTGCAGTCTTTGTTATGTCAATCTAATTGAAAAAAAAAATAAAAAAAAAAATACAATCGAATTGAGAACCTCCTCCTTTTTTTGAAGTCGGTTAAAAATACCTGAATGAAGCAATGACTTTATTTTTGCCAATAGCCCATAAAACTACACTATATCAAAATTATATATGTAAAAAAAACTAGATGGCACCAGCATTTCCTATGTGACTACTCTGACAAGAAATATAAAAAAAAAAACTCAGATATATCTCATTTGCTGTATGATAATTGGGTTCAACTGACTTTGTCCTTATCCTATCTTAAACCAATAATGTTTATTTTACAGCAACCACAGATCTTAGTATTGAAGGAGGGGACGGACCAGTCCCAGGGGAAGCCCCAGCTCATCTCAAACATCAACGCTTGCCAGTTGGTCGTAGATGCTGTAAGTACCAAACACAATAGACTAATGATGTAGTGTAATGTACCTTTAACACCCGGTTTCCGAAAGCCTGATCAATATTAAAATCAATTTAATCTCTTGTCAAGTCATCTGATTGGTTGACTGAATTATCAACAACCAATCAAATGACTTGACAAGAGATTTAACAGGAGATTTGTTAATTTTAGCGTTGACAAGCCTTTCAGAAACCGGGTGTAAGACGATGATGATTTAGCTATTCTACAGTTTTAGTGACACAAATGAACAGAAAAATACATAATTTCATGTTTAAGAAATAATCTTATTAGTATCAGTGTGTCCATAAAAATCTGAGAAAAGTAACCTGAATAACTGACTAAAAACTCAACTTCACATTTTTTTTAAATTTATTATTTTTTTATGTGAGAGATCGGCAAATGAGCAGACGGATTACCTGATGGTAAGCAATCAGCGCCGCCCATGGACACCCGCAACGGAGGAGTTACGAGTGCGTTGCCGACCTTTTAGGGATTAGGGACTTTTGACTAAACAATTTTCGTCAAACCTGGGAGAGACTAATTTGATCAGGCAAACGTCAAAACAGAGATTTAGGGATTGGGGGAGGGGAAGGATTGGGCCTCCAGTAACCTCACTCACACGGCGAAACACAAAGCTGTGGTTGTTTCACGCCGGTTTTCTGTGAGGCCGTGGTATCACTCCGGTCGAGCCGACCCATTCGTACCGAAGCATGGCTCTCCCACACTATTTAGTCAATCTTATTCATAATTTAAAATAAGATTCCACAAATACTGAGAGTATGAGTAAAGTGATTAAAAATACTTAACATTTCCGTAGTAGTAATTTCAGACACATTAGAAGACCAATACATGCGCAAATGTTCGCTTGGAGTTTGATGAATTAGAAGTATGACAATGGAGTTACTAGCTCATTTTTCTCCATTTAAATCTAAAGTTTGAAACAAGCACCTTCACTGACGAACTGACTGACAGACATTTATTCTATTTAAATGTTTCTAAAGAACACATTTATGATTTAGTTGGAATAAATTATTTTTGATTAGAGTGAATAGGCTCTTAATAAACTAGTGCGCCTTACCACCAACGATTGCATCACTGCGTACCATCAGGTGGGGTCGCAGTCAAGCACTAGTTTATTGCAAGTTAAAAAAAAAATTACTATGTCAATTGTGTTACATGTTAGTCCATTTATCGAAGGAGGTTTTATGCTGTACTTGTAACACTATACTAAGACCAGAGCTGACGCAGAGTAGTAGGTGGAACTCTGTAGAAGTAACTATGGTTGTTAGGTGCCTAGGTTATAGTAAAGTGAACAAGCCAATGATTAAAACAAACGGATCCAATTTCTGAATAGAACCGTGAGGATCTTGATAGTAGACATGACGGCTTGTTTATTTGCTAACGTAGCAAGATAGTTCCACACTAGCTTTTGCCCGCGACTCCTGTCGCGTGGAATAGTGACTTAGATTTTTGGTATAAAAACTATCCTATGTTCTTTCTCGAGTTTCAAACTATGTCTGTATCAAATTTCACAGAAATAGATTCAGTAGTTTAGGCTTGAAGAAAAGACAGACAGACAGACAGACAGAGTTACTTTCGCATTTATAATATAAGTTTGGATAGTTAACAGCATAATAAGTTTCTCCAATGTCTTTATCCATCCATATCCGTCTCTTGAAGGTTCGTACAACCCTCGGCCCTCGTGGCATGGACAAGCTGATCGTGGACCACAACGGTAAAGCTGTGATCTCCAACGATGGAGCCACCATCATGAAGCTCTTGGACATCGTCCACCCAGCTGCCAAGACCTTGGTGGACATTGCTAAGTCACAAGATGCTGAGGTGAGATGAGATTTAATATCTGTATAAAACTTTTTTTATTTTTATTTGATAGGTCGTCAAACGAGCGTCAGATTACCTGATGGTAAGCAATCAACGCAACAGACCAGTTACGAGTGCCTTGCCGACCTTTTGGGGATTGGGGAGGGGAAGAATTGGGCCTCTGGTAACCTGACACACACGGCGAAACACAACGCTGTGGTTGTTTCACGCCAGTTTTCTGTGAGGCCGTGGTATCACTCCGGTCGAGCTAAAGAGCCATGCTTCGGCTGGAATGGGTCGGCCATTCCTGCCGAAGCATGGCTCTCGTATACTTAAAGCAATTTTCATCAATTTCATGAATTCATTGTATTGAAAAATAAAAAATAATTTAATTTTCACATGGAAACTATGAGATTTGTAAAAAATTGACCATTTAACATGGAGATAACTGTTTGAGAGATTAAATTTATGTTATTATTAGCAATAGCCAATGATTAAAACAAACGGATCCAATTTCTGAATAGAACCGTGAGGATCTTGATAGTAGACATGACGGCTATCGCTATAATTTTTAAAAGCAAAATGTATTACTATCCTAAGACTCCGCTCTGTATCACATGGAGTTCATAAGTCCTGAAGGTAGGGCTTTTTTGGCCTAGACCTAAGTTTTCTCCTGTATCGTGGGTGCGTTTACAATACATTACATACTGTTTTCATATTAATTTTAGGTGGGTGATGGAACAACATCTGTGGTGATCCTGGCTGGTGAACTCCTCAAAAGACTAAAGCCTTTCGTCGAAGAAGGTATGTAAGACCAGGTCCATATATTAAATAGTATAAAATAGATGGACGATGACGGGGGACCCAATATACCATACTCTTTTCTAAAATTTACGTTTATAAATAGTCTCTTCAGGCTTCTCTTGACGCCTCAAAGAGCCAATAGACCACCACAGACGGGGCCCCATAGGGCTGATGTTCAGCCGGGGTTGCGGAGTAAGCGCAATGAGGCACCGCGACCTCGGCCCACAGCAGGAGAAGGAACAGTGGGGTTTTATAGTCAGTAAGAGTCTGACACTATGGGAGAAGTCATTTGATGATTTTCCCCTAACAAAAAAAGGCTTCTCTTACCGAGGCTCTCATTGGAAGTTAATTAGTAAGACTTTATAAAAGTAAGTAAGTAAAACGGCAAACGAGCAGATTGATTACCTGACGGTAAGCAAGCAGCATCGCCCATGGCCACTCGTAATACCAAAGGAGAGTACTACGAGTGCGTTGCCGACCTCTTATTTTTGGGATTTGTAAATAGAGGAATGTGTCTCCTCTGCATTTTCTTTTGTATAAGTCTGCAAACAAGCTGACGGATTACCTGATGGTAAGCGATCGACGCCGCCCATGGACACCCGCAACACCAAAGGAGTTACGAGTGCGTTGCCGGCCTTTTGGTAATAAGGGTTGCGAATATTTAAGCATTAGGAAGGGATATGGGAAGGGGAAGGATTGGGCCTCCGGTAATCTCACTCACACGGCGAAACACAACGCTGTGGTCGTTTCACGCCGGTTTTCTATAAGGCCGTTCTATCACTCCGGTCGAGCCCACCCATTCGTGCAGAAGCATGACTCTTACACTATTCAAATGATTATAACAAACGGATCCAATTTCTGAATTCCTTGAGGATATACTTAAAACTATATGATGATTATATTATCAAAATTTTTATCTACAATACACACATATTTAAAGGGCATTTTAATATTTTTTTAAATTAATTCTTTCACAGGAGTGCATCCCCGTATCATCGTCCGTTCTGTCCGTGTAGCTGCGAAGTTGGCTGTGGACAGAGTCAAGGAGCTAGCCGTTAAGATCGACAATAAGTCAGTCGAAGAACAGAGGTGATTGTTATATTTATTTACTGGCGGCAATGGAGCATCACGGCCTCGCTAAAAAACGGCGTGAAACAACTACAGCGTTTTTGTTACCGAAGGCCCAATCCATCCCCCTATTGGGATTTTGGGATTGGGAAGGATGGGCCTCCGGTAACCCCATTCATATCAACGCTGTGGTTGTTTCACGCCGGTTTTCTGTAAGGCCGTGGTATCATTCTGGTCCAGCCGATCCATTCGCGTCGAAGCTTGGCTCTCCTATTAGCATAATTTTAGTAATTTTCTAACGCGTTTAGGAATTTTGCAAGCCAATGATTAAAACAAACGGATCCAATTTCTGAATAGAACCGTGAGGATCTTGATAGTAGACATGAGGTTTGCAAAAACGCTAAAATGAGATAATTTTAAACAAAGTAGTGGCCCGGAGGTTAAAGCCTGTTTCTTTCCAGAGGGCTTATAGGAACCTGGCAAGTACCAATGTAACTTTTTCCGAGTTATATGTACTATCTATGATTATTTAGACACCACTGACATACGGTGACGGTAAACAAAGTGAGGAAACCTGGACTTAGAATTTCTAATTATAACTATGAAATCGTCATAGTTATAATTAGAAATTCTAAGTCCAGGTTGTTAATACCCAAATTGAGCGAGTGTGGCGGTTAATAACCAAACTAATCTTGCTTAACATTGGGCTTTTATAGGCTAATGATGTGGTGTGAAATTAAACAGACACACTGCACATTTTGACATAAATCCAAACTTCCAAAATAATATTACAAATTCGAAAGTAACTCTGTCTGTCTGTCTTTTCTTCACGCCTAAACTACTGAACCGATTTGTGTGAAATTTGGTACGGACATAGTTCGGAACTCAAGAAAGGACATAGGATAGTTTTTATACCAAAAATCTGCAGGAAGTCACTATTCCACGCGAACGAAGTCGCGGGCAAAAGCTAGTAGATAGTATATTATACGGAGGGACATCCAGACCCCAAATGGTAATTTAAAATTTAAATAAAATCTATGTAAATAATTGTATGAAGTTATAGGTACGTATCGATGAACGGGAAAAAATTCTGTGTAGCTAAATCTAAAAAAATATATCTATTATATAAAGCTTTTTTTTTGCTTTTTTACAGGGAACTGCTGACAAAGTGTGCCGCTACAGCGATGTCTTCGAAGCTGATCCATCAACAGAAGGGACACTTCTCCAAGATGGTGGTGGACGCTGTACTGTCTCTGGACGCTCCACTCTTGCCTCTGGACATGATCGGTGAGACTTTAGTTTGTATTATACCAAAGTATAGTTATTTTTCAATATTTTATTGTATTGAAACGTCGAATTAATTTATTTTTAACCCCCGACGCAAAAAGAGGGGTGTTATAAGTTTGACGTGTCTGTCTGTCTGTGGCATCCTGGAGCCTAAACGGGTAAAGCGATTTCAATTAAGTATTTTTTTTATTAAAGGTGACTTACGTGCGAGTGTTCTTAGACATGTTTCTGTTAGACGAAAATCGGTTGAGCCGTTTAGAAGTTATGGGGGGTAAGTGGGGAAGGGTAACCGAAGGTCTGCAAATATACTCGAGTGGGATCTCAAAAGGAAGCGCACTGAAAGCGGATGTTGATGACTTAATCGAGAGGAAATGATATAAAAAGTATAAAACCAAAAAGAATTAGACCCCCGACAAAATAGAAATATGTCGTTGATAATAAAATGTATGGATCGGTCCCCAATGCCACGTTTTCTTTTAATTATTACTGTTTAAAGGAGTATAGGATTTTAGGTTGGGGGTTTTCTAAATTTTCAATTTATTATTTTTGACCTAGTAAACTAGCCAATTAAAATAACAATAGTATTAAATTTGATCAGTGTTAAAATACTCAATTTAAATTGACATCTTCTTCAACAGGTATCAAGAAAGTGTCGGGTGGTGCTCTAGAAGATTCCTTCCTAGTCTCCGGTGTGGCCTTCAAGAAGACATTCTCGTACGCTGGATTTGAGATGCAACCAAAGACTTACAATAACTGCAAGATTGCTCTACTCAACATTACTCTTGAACTGCAAGCGGAGAGGGATAATGCTGAGGTCAGTACGCTTTCTTTATGTGATAGTTCGGCAAACGAGCAGACGGATTACCTGATGGTAAGCAATCAGAGCCGCCCATGGACACCCGCAACAACGGAACAGTTACGAGTGCGTCGTTGACCTTTTGGGGATTAGGCATTTGGAGATTTTAGGATTGGGCCTCCGGTAACGTCACACACACGGCGAAAAACAACGCTGTGGTTATTTCACGCCAGTTTTCTATGAAGCCGTGGTATCTCTATCTCACACTTTGTATTTTTCTAACGCGTTTAAGAATTTTGCAAGCCAATGATTAAAACAAACGGATCCAATTTCTGAATAGAACCGTGAGGATCTTGATAGTAGACATGAGGTTTGCAAAAACGCTTAAATGAGATAATTTTAAACAAAACCATTGTACTTGCCCCGAGGTCTGGTATGTACCCTGGTCGAGCCGACCCAGTCGTTCCGAAGCATGGCTCTCACACACTCTTATATATATGGTAGTGGATTTACACACTATTTAAAATGAACCGATTTCATAAATATTTTAAATACATATTGTACAATTCTATTGAATCTCCGTATAATATTTTTACTTAGATGAGATTTTTTCTAGCACGTCTCATTCGATCAATTGTTTTCGACCAATACGGTAGTTTCCCACTAGTCAACCTGAATACTATTATTCAAATGTCAAAAACTATAGTTTTCTATGAAAAACTGAGATATGACGTGATAGTATTTTTGCGTCAAAAAAAAATATGTAAAACTTAGTGTATCGATCGATCGATGAATAAAAGTATAGTTAGTTTTCCAATATTTTCTTGTAATGAAACGTTAAATTAATTTATTTTTGAACTATGAAACTACCCAATTGTCTTTGCACGAATTGCCGCTCGAAAAATTGTCTTTCGGCGAATAATTTTTTCGATAAAATGTGTTCTATGAATGATTTTCGATTAATTTTCCGGTGACCATGGTAGTGGCCCTCTATCTCAGCCTGGTAAGCTAATTATACGGTAAATCCTCCTCCAGGTGCGAGTGGACAATGTGACTGAGTACCAGAAAGTGGTGGACGCGGAATGGCAGATCCTGTACGAGAAGCTCGCCGCCCTGCACGCCAGCGGGGCCAACGTCGTGCTCAGCAAACTGCCCATCGGAGACGTTGCCACACAGTACTTCGCTGACCGGTCAGTAATACAGCTGTTCTACCATCAAGCGGATCTTTAGTATAACAATCTACTAACAAGCCACTCGCCCTAGACCTTACAAGCAAAAAGAAAACAGATAACATATGAGATAACCAGGTTTAAAGTTTAAATTAAATAGTCTTTGCTCATTGATATTTCAATTTGTGATTTTGTTGATTTGGAAATTGATTCAAGTGAATTGGATTCATTTTAAGTTATAAGTGGTTTCGGTTTCAATTTCGTTTAATTTATTTATAGTGATCCAAATAGCTTGGTTCGTTTTTGAGCAATTTTAATAAAAATCTGTCATAGATGTTGGTTAGTACCACATATTAAAAAAAAAGGTCAAATTAACATATTTTGAATATGGTGTATAGGGAATGTACTGGCTCCTGTACCCAATGATATTATAAGTAAAAAGGTGTAGATAGGTTACAAGCGCTCAGCAAGTGATACATTAAAATGTGGCTAACTAGCCACACTTTTTCATATTATTTGTCTCTTTTTCACTCGCGATTATTAAATCATGCCATCCCACTTTAACGTGTATCATACGATTTATTCATGTGTGCATAAGTGTGTCGTTTTTGAAAATCGAATGTTGTTTAGGTAACCTATCTATACCATTACCATTATTATCGCCTGTAATACAGTTTTTTAACTAGTTCAGAACTCGGGATTCAATGAATAACAATGTAAAATTATTATGTCAACAATGAATTATTATTAAAAAAATACTACATTATGGTACAAGTTGACGTTAGTACACACACAATATACACGTGTATCATACGACGTTTTTCAACACACATCCTAATAAAATAATACTTAAATAAATAACTTCAAAAGGGAAAACGAGACGAGTTGTGTCAAATGTTTCGTAATGGCGGGAAAGAATAATCAGTATTATGAGGCCATAGACTAAAAAATGATGATTCTTTTTTGTGCCTCTCGCGGATAGTATGTTAGCGCAAGTGTAAGCGTAACTCAACTAATAATTTTAAAAAACTCGTCAATAATAGTAATGAAAAAGTCACAGTTTGTCATTTCGTGCCTAATTGTATTGAAAAAAATATTATTTCGTATTGTCAGCGACATGTTCTGCGCGGGCCGTGTCCCCGACGAGGACCTGAAGCGCACGCAGCGCGCGTGCGGCGGCGCCGTGCTGTCCTCCGTGCGGGACCTCGCCCCCGAGGCATTAGGGGCCTGCGCACACTTCACTGAGAAGCAGGTCGGCGGGGAGCGGTACAACATCTTCACTGGTTAGTATTATACACAGAAGAAAATATGTTTAGTCAAAGGAAAAGTGTCATAAATCACTCCCCCTGTCTGATATTACCTTCAGCTCCATCTAGGATAGGGATTTTGTACATTTATTTATAATCCGAACTAAAATGATTTCACAATACACTTCCAATGTCATTAAATTTATTAAGTGAAGGTCAAAATTTAATTTAATTAGTGAAGTTGTACAGTATTTATGATTAGTATAGTCACACAGAGTTGTTCGCCACCGCGCCAACCTTGGGTTGGCCGATTGGGCCTCAGTAATCTTAATGACATGTCAAAAAGTGTGATAGTGATGCCACGGCCTCACAGAAAACCGACATGTAACAACCGCAGCGTTGTGTTTCGCCGTGCGAGTGAGGTTACCGGAAGCTCAATCCTTCCCCTCCCCCAATACCTAAATCTCAAAATCCTTAATCCCCAAAATGTTGGTAACGCACTCGTAACTCCTCTGCTGTTGCGGGTGTCCATGGGCGGGGCTGAATGCTTACCATCATATAATCCGACTGCTTGTTTACGACGTGTATCACATAAAAAAATCTCAACGCTTTTTTCTTAACTTTGTTCGTCAGACAACTCAGTAGCACTTGCTATACTGGTTGCAAACTGACACTTGCGTGCCTGTCTTCAGAACGGGTCCACTTAAACTGGTGTGGTTCTTTCCTCAAAAGACCACTACAGAATGAACTTGCACGATTCTCTCACATTATGTTATTTTTACATTGTCTGGACTTGAAAAGAGACTGACCTCTGAGTTTGTTTCGGCATTTCTTCTCAGAGTAGTAAGATAGGAAATGCCGGCTTCATCTAGTTTTTCACATATAATTTGACGTGTAAAAGTGCCGTTTTATGGCCTATTTGCAAAAATAAATTCATTGTTTCATAACTTTTGTTTCACCTGGGTATTCTGTCAGGCCGTGCTAAATTTAAGAGTTGGTGGTTTAGGTGGCTAACTAAAGGTAAACAATGTTGGTATGTCTTTTTATATTAAAGAGCTCGTATAAAGTACATACAAAGATTATTTAAATTCAGTTTATTAGCTAACATCGATTTAGATAAATAGCTGATTGTAAACATTATTACACACAATTTTTAGACAAGTTTTATACAGGGTGTAAAAAGACACTTAACGAAGCCGGTAACTACGCATACTGCAGTTCTAACTAAGTAGCTTTACGCTAAAATTATCACTGGGAAACGACTTTTATTTTTAGGTATCAAAAAATAATAATAATTTTATTACGCGTAATGTAAAGCAAACGGGCTTCGTGTCATTGTGTGTAGGTTCACAGCTTAGCATGAAAACGCTGTGATAAGTACGTAGGTCGACGTTTTACTTCGCAACAACAAAACAATTCTGTAAAATAAAAATCCTACTGAGATGCACGATGTTTTTTGTGCGGGTCTGCATTTATTTATTACGTACATTACTGTTCGTAACTTCAAATGCGTAATTTATTTAGAAAAATAGAAAATTCAGGTAATGTTTGTTTGGAAAAAAGTTTTGTATTAATACTTATATTCGATTGCGCAAAAAAAGAAAAATTAAAAATGCATCTTTGACCTTCAATATCTCGAGAACCCGTGGAGTCCCAGCTATGGTCTTAAAGAAAAAAATGATCCAAATAATGGGTAGAATACGTGGCTTTCGGCTTCGTTAAGTGTCTTTTTACACCCTGTATAAAAAGACCATATCATGTGATAGTTATGCTAAACTGTTCTTTACTGATAAACTGTCTCCCTGTATTAATTTTCCTATATTCCTCTAGCACAATTAATTTTTTCTTTATGTTCCTCTTCCTCATTCCCAAACTCCTTTCCCGCAGGTTATGATAAAGAAGTTGCTCCAACCGGTAAGATGTCTACATATTTTTGTAGATTGCCTTTGTATTTATATTTCGACTAGGTTTTGCCAGCGGAATAGTGAGTTCCTGCAAATTTTTTGGTATACAAACTATCCTATGTCCTTTCTCGAGTTCCAAACTAACATAGTTTAGGCGTGAAGAAAAGACAGACAGTTACTTTTGTATTTTTATAGTATTAGTATAGATATAGATTAGTATAGAAAGTATTATTATTATTATTTTTTTTGTGAGGGGAAAATCATCAAATGACTTCTCCCGCCCCGGGGCTGGGCGGGAGGGAGTGTCAGACTCTTGCTGACTAAAAACCCCCCTGTTCCTTCTCCTGCTCTGGGCCGAGGTCGCGGTGCCTCATTGCGCTTACACCGCAACCCCGGCAGATAGTATAGATTGTGTATTTTTTTAATAGGTACTTTAATTACCACTACGATTTTCACATTGATATTTTTGACGCCGCCTACATTTATCTTACATTTTACTTTGAACTCGCCGGGCGAGTCCACGGCGCTGGAATAAAATTTACGTAGACTCTGGACGAGTCGGTGGCACTAAATATGTTAACATCAAAAAATGTTAATTCATTCTTTCTCGTTTCAAAGGTTGTCCGGCAGCGAAGACCTGCACGATCGTGCTCCGCGGCGGCGCTGAGCAGTTCTTGGAGGAGACTGAGCGCTCCCTGCATGACGCCATCATGATCGTCAGACGTACCATCAAGAATGATGCTGTGGTTGCCGGTGAGTTGATGACATTATCATGCCCTCCTGTCCTTAAAGATCTCTCGGATTTTATGAACGCCCTATACATCACTAATGCCCGGTTTCCGAAAGCCCGATCAATGTTAAAATCAACTAACTAGGTGTCAAATCTCTTGTCAAGTCACCTGATTGGTTGTTGATAATTCAGTCAACCAATCAGATGACTTGACAAGAGATTAAATTGATTTTAACATTGATCGGCCTTTCGGAAACCGGGTGTAAATGAAATTAATTGTGATGTAACTCTTGATTTTGTAACTCGATAAGATGTAAAAAAAATATTATCATAAACATGAAATACATGAGAGTCTCTCGATTTTGACGATTCGAAATATGTAATTGAATTTGACTATACAGTTCTTAAGTAACTGATTTTGTGTTTTTGAATAAAATGACGTCGGTCTTGTATTAGCCAATGATTAAAACAAACGGATCCAATTTCTGAATAGAACCGTGAGGATCTTGATAGTAGACATGACGGCTAAAACAAACCCAATTTTTTAAACCATCACCACCACCCTATTAGTCTCTTCTCACACGGAGAAGGATTGCTAGGCTCTCGCTCAAGGCGGATTGGCGATTTCAAACTTATAATTAGAAATTACTAGCTTCCGCCCGAGGCTTCGGCTACGTGGAAGATAAAAAGTAGCCTATAATCCAGGGTATCATCTAAGTCATGGGTTACGGGGTAAGCGCAATGAGTCATCGCGGCCTCGGCCTAGAGCAGGAGAAGGACCAGGGAGTTTTTAGTCAGTAAGAGTCTGACACTCACTCTAGGCGGGATACGTCATTTGATGATATCCCTCTTACAAAAATAGGGTCGATAGGTCTATATACCAGATAGTGAAACAATGAATTTATTTTTGCAAATAGGCCATAAAACGGCACTTTTACACGTCAATTTATATGTGAAAAACTAGATGAAGCCGGCATTTCGTATCTGACTACTCTGAGAAGAAATGCCAAAACAAACTCAGAGGTCAGTCTCTTTTCAAGTCCAGACAATGTAAAATAACATAATGTGAGAGAACCGTGCAAGTTCATTCTGTAGTGGTCTTTTGAGGAAAGAACCACACCAGTTTAAGTGGATCCGTTCTGAAGACAGGCACGCAAGTGTCAGTTTGCAACCAGTATAGCTAGTGCTAGTTACTTAATCGGTCCAACCGCGAAAACAAAATGCGAAAGTTACGATGTTTGGATGTTTGTTACTCAATCACGCCAAAATGGTTGAATGGATCTGGATTAAATTTGGTACAGGCATAGGATGCACTCCGGAATAGGACAAGGGCTACTTTTTATTGACATACCACGCAATCGAAGCCGCGGGCGGAAGTTAGTAATGTATTAGTAGGATAGGTTTATTTTCCCTGTTCAGTAAATATAGTTAAGAAAAAGTATATGTTTATTTAAAAAAATATGTTTTCTTCAGGTGGTGGTGCCATCGATATGGAGATTTCGAAACATCTCCGCGAGTACGCCAAGGGTGTCGCGGGCAAGGAACAGCTCCTAGTAGCTGCTGTAGCGCGCGCATTCGAAGCCATACCCAGACAACTCTGTGACAACGCCGGTTTTGACGCAACTAACTTATTAAACAAGCTCAGGAATAAACATCACAATGGTTAGTGACTTTTTTTATAATCGATTTAGGGCTGATTTTTCAATGGTTAGATAAAAGTTACCTGGGGAATAATTGGGCAGTTTCTTAGGTCAAAAATAAATTAATTCGACGTTTCAATATGATAAAATATTGAAAAATAACTATGCTTTTATTCATCGATCGACTTACACACAAAATTTTAGATATTTTTCAGCTAATTTTTAAGAAACAAGTAAGCTATTTGACGCAAAAATACTATAACGTCATAACTCGGTTTTTCATACAAATTTCACAGAAAAGTATAGTTTTTGACATTTGAATAAAAGTATTGAATTTGACTAGTTGGAAACTACCGTATTATGATGCTGTCGCGTCAGAATGTTTGTATTAGACAGTGACGGCAACAATTTTATTCCTCAGATAACATTTATCTGACTATTGAAAAATCAGCCTTCAGGTAATTAACTAAATATAAATAGTCTTGGCATGTCTTTTTATATTAAACTTGTATAAAAATTGTATGTAATAATGTTTACAATCAGCTATTTACCTAAATCGATGTTAGCTAATAAACTGAATTTAAATAATCTTTGTATGTACTTTATACGAGCTCTTTAATATAAAAAGACATACCAACATTGTTTACCTTTAGTCAACCACCTAAAGCAATAGATTATAATTGTGTTTTAAAAGTTTTTGTATTAGCCAATGATTAAAACAAACGGATCCAATTTCTGAATAGAACCGTGAGGATCTTGATAGTAGACATGACGGCCATTTTCTACTACATTCAATAAAGTTCAAAATGCAACGACAAAATGTTACAGACGGTTTTCTTTTTTCCAGGCGATATCTGGTACGGTATTGATATTCAGAAGGAGGATATCGGAGATAACTACGCGTCTTGTGTGTGGGAGCCCGCCATTGTTAAGATAAACGCTATCACTGCCGCCTGTGAGGCTGCCGCCCAGGTATATTTTCATTTTTTTTTTATGTGATAGGTCGGCAAACGAGCAGACGGATTACCTGATGGTAAGCAATCAGCGCCGCCCATGGACAACTCGTAACCCGCTACGAAGGAGTTACGAGTGCGTTGCCGACCTTTTAGATTAGGGATTTGGAGATTCAGGGATTGAGGAGGGATTGCGGGAGGGAAAGGCCTCCGATAACCTCACTCACACGGCGAAACGCAACGCTGTGGTTACATCACGCATCGAGCCGACCCATTCGTGCCGAAGCATGGCTCTCCCACACTTATTATAATTGGTTTTTATACCAAACTAGCGATCGCGTCCCGACCTCGCTCGGTTGCAATGTTGATACTAAATTTCTCCACTATAATGAATGTTATTATACTAATAAACATTCCTCTTCATTCGCTATCTATTTAAGACAGCGGCATCAAAATCCGTTGCGTAGTTTTATAGATTTAAGTTTACACAGGCATATAGAGACAGAAAGCGCCTATGTAGTGATTTATCGACAGCTCTGCAGAGTCAGTCTACCAACACGCTAGATGATTTGATCAAAGTCAAAATCAAATTCATTTATTCCAACTAAACCATAAATAGGTACTTTTGAAACGTCAAAATAGAATAGTAGTCTGTCAGTCTGTTCGTCAGTGAAGCTAGGTGCTCGTTCCAAATTGTAGATTCGAATGGAGAAGAACGAGCAAGAAACTCCATCGTTACTCTTTTTAAAATCTGCCCTAACTGCCTTATATCATGGTTGTCTCAAAATTTTTTGACGTTTCATTAGCACCTATTTATGGTTTAGTTAGAATAAATGATTTTGACTTTGACTTTGATTTTGAAATCTCCACATCTTTCCTCAGATCCTGTCAGTCGACGAGACTATAAAGAACGTGAAAGGACAAGACATGCCGACGGCGGGGGCTCCTGGACGCGGCATGGGGCGCCCGCGCATGGGCTGATGACGTCATCGTTTTAAACACACGCTTTACCACTATTTCTTGACCGCCTTAGTTCGAAAGGAGAAAGAAATTACAAGTTGAATGAACCTATCTTGCTAACTAAAAGACTGCCTTATATAGGCCTTAATGATTAATGGTCAGGACCGACAAGTATCCAGAAACGTCTCCGACTATAAAGACCATCTCTCCAATTTATAAAGAATTATATAATACTAGTTACTTTCCCCGCTGGTCGACTCCTGTGATGTTTTATAGCCTATAGGACTCAGGAATATTGTAGCTGTCTACTAGTGAAAGAATTTTGGCAATCCAACCAGTGGTTCCAAAGATTACCCCCTACATACAAACTTACAAATTTTACCTCTTTACAATGCATTTGTTTGAATGAAGCTAGAACTGCGGGCGGTCTCTTCACGCTTAGTACTAAGTTATTATAGTATTAACTAATAAATATTATTAATTATAATAACTAATAACCAAGCTTTTGTTTTATTTATAATTCTCTTGTCGTAAGAAAATGTGTTATCAAAAATGATTTTTATTTTAGTTTAGTTTTTAAAAATAAACCTTGCCCCACATTAGGATTTTCTCCTGTGTCGTGGGTGCGGTTACAAACATACAATTTCACATACACATGACACCCGGAACAACAATTTGTAAATCACACATTGTTTGGAATCGAACCCGCGACATGTTGCACGGCAGCCAGTTGCCCAGCCACCGCACCAACCGTGCAGTTATTATTGAGGCAAAGGTTGCAGATCAAGGGTAATTATGTTGTGGTGGCCTGAAGGTTAAGGCATTTCTTCCATGAGGGTTCGAAACCTGGCAAGTACCAATGTGACTTTTTCCAAGTTATATGTACTTGCTATGATTATTTAGACACCACTGACATACGGTGAAGGTAAACATCGTGAGGAAGCCTGGACTTTAATTCCTAATTAAGTTTGAAATCGCCAATCCGATTAGCGACCGTGGTGATTTATTATCAAACCTTTTCCGTGTGAGAAGAGGTCTTTATTCAGCAGTGATATGATGTGGGGCAGATCAAAAATAATTTGTTTCACGATTCACCCATCACATGGCTAGAAATTCACATCTCTTCCACTCCACGCCAAAGGAAACAGCATTTTTTTTTCGAATGTATGTACCTATAATACTTTTTTTAACGTTGCCCCACACTAGGATTTTCTCCTGTGTCGTGGGTGTGTTTACAAACATACAATTTCACATACACATCACACAGAATTAGAGCAGTGAATAGATGTTGGCGAATAGGGATGTCTCCTGGGTTAAAACAACAAGATTCTAAATAACTAATTAAGGGGTCCGTCAGTTAGATTATAGAAAAATACTCGATACGTATTTTTATTTGTCCATACGAATAATATTGACAAATATACAGCACATTCAAATTCAGGAGTAGGGGCTCGTGACGTCACTCTTTCGTAAAAAATAAAGTAAAAAATAAAAAAGCGCGAACTTTCGCCGCTCTGTACCTTTGTTATTTTAAGTTTTTGAAGCAAAAGAAAACATAGGTACGTTTGTACTATTTTCTGGCGTTCTAAAAGATGGACTAATTATTATTTTTAGTCATTATCCCTGGTTTCTTAGTATCTATTCACCCCTCTTCTGTCGATAGCCACCTTAGTGGATCACACGAAGAGTTGTTATGTGCGGGAATACAATCCGCGACACGTTGCGCCGCAGCCAGTTGCAAAGTGAACTAATTATTTTAAAACAAAAGTCAAAAATCATTTATTTCAATAAGGCCCCATCGCAGTGGGCACTTTTGAACGTCAAGCAAAAAAGAAAAAGAAAAAATATTTGAAATTTTTACTCCTAACACCAGAGAAGCGAGTCGTGCGTTGCCGGCCTTTTAGGGATTAGGGTTTTAAAGATTCATGAATTTGGAAAGATTGAGCCTGCCGGTAACCTCACTAAAAGAAAGCGAAAAAACTAGTCACACCTGTTTTCTTGGGAACCCAAAATTAAAAAAAAAATATATTCTTTCAATTCATACTCTTGCAGTAGAGAAATTCTATAAACCAGCAGCTTTATTCCGCCAAAACTTTACATTAGATCTGGCTTAGAGAATACGTGTCATTGGCCGTTGGGCACTTACGCATGATTTTGCAAAGCGGTCCATTTTATTTAGGTCAGCCCCGCTCCGCTTCCAGTAGGCAACACTCCGGGAGGGAACGGGACGGGTCAAGGGACGATCTGAGGCCACCGTAAGCGCGGGTATACGTTTGGCGAGAGAGATACCACAGGGCATGGCGAACCAGACCCGAGCGTAAGGCGTATAGCGTTACACGCGCTCCTCTAAGAACAAATAGACCTCCACAGATGAGTCCTTTTTTTGTGAGGGGAAAATCAGCAAATGAATTCTCCCGCTCACGCTAGGGAGTGTCAGACTCTTACTGACTAAAAACCCCCCTGTTCCTTCCCCTGGGCTGAGGTCGCGGTGCCTCATTTCGCTTACCCTGCAACCCCGGCTGAACAGATGGAGTCTAACAGGGCCAAGGATCAGCTGGGGGGCATATAATTCATCGTTATCTACTAAGAGATTATTTTTTTTTACAAAATTGATTTGATCACGACTAATTTAATAGGATAGTTGGGCTAACGAGCAGATGTACCTAATACCTGATGGTAAGCAATCTGAGCCACCCATGGACGGCCATGGAACACCAAAAGAGTTACGAGTTCGTTGTTGGCCTTTTCGGAATAAGGGATTCGGATATTTAAGGATTAGGGGGAAGGATTGCGCCTCCGGTAACCTCACTCACACGGCGAAACACAACGCTGTGGTTGTTGCACGCCGGTTTTCTGCGAAGCCGTGGTATTACTCAATTCGAGCCGACCCATTAATATCTACCGAAGCTCATTACACTTGAGTGGCCTGGAATAGTCATCCTCAATTATAAAGGAGTTGAAAACTAATAAAATGTTTAAAAGTTACGTTATAAGCCAAAACAATGAAGGCGCACACAATATAATCGGTAACCTTGGCCCATTCGAGCGCGTCGTCCGTTATAGCAATCTGATTTAAGGTGCGTTGAACCAATAATTATAAACTATAGCACATCCCCGTGATTTCACTTGTGTTTTCTCTGTTTCCTTGCGCTGTGATCTTGAAAGAATAGATTTCTTGCCACCTCTAAAGTCGCTGGGGTTGCCAGTAATGTACCGCGTCCCTGGTTCAGAGTAGGAGAAGGAACAGGGAGGTTTTTAGTTTATAGCGTCGTACATACCTACATTCTATGGCATAACCACCACACCTCACATTACCAGATTACCTTTACCGTACCTCCTTGAAGAACCAGACGTTACTTTCTGTACTTTCTGTTATCAAAAACGTTTCAACCCCTTTTTCAAGGCGGCTTGTTTCACTGTTTCTAATAACAGAAAGTCAAAAACGAAGGTACTGGTTTGTTGTTCACGGAGGTATGGTAACGGTAACCTAGTTCTTCAAGGAGGTACGGTAAAGGTAATCTGGTAATGAGAGATGTGGTGGTTATGCCATAGACTGTAGACTGTAGGTATGTATGACGCTATAAGTTAGAACTAGCGACCTGACCCGACTTCGCACGGGGGCAATGGGGTGCGTATACTATTAAATGGATGTTATTATATCTACATATAAATCTTCCTCATGAGGAAACCTTTCTTTTTTTCAGGGCAAAATCATCAAATGGCTTCTCCCGCCCAGGGTAAGGCGCGAGATAGCGTCAGACTCTTACTGACTAAAAACGTCCCTTTCCTTCTCCTGCTTTAGGCCGAGGAGCATTGCAAACCCAGCTGAACATCAGCCCTGCAGGGCCCTGATTGTGGTGGTCTATTGGCTTTTTATGGCGCTCGCAGATACCTAAGCGCCATACGCTCGGGTCTGGTTCTGGTCGGGCGGCGAGCTAGCTTGTTCGGAAAAACTGGATGAGGAAAACTTGGACTTGCAATTTCTAATAACAAGTTCAAATTCGCCAATCCGCATTGAGTCAGCGTGGTGATTAATGCTCAAACCTTCTCCGTGTGAGAAGAGGTCTTTGCTCAGCAATGGGCACTTATAGGCTGATGATATGATGTATGTAGATAAAGGCCCGCTCGTGTTTCGCACCTACCACCTACCTCGCTAACGAAAGGATCGTTAATTCCCAACTTTTCCGTCTACTTTTCTAAAATTTTCTTTCCTGAGAACCTTTTCCTGACAATAACAAACTCAACAAACAGCAGAATTGGCAAAATTCGACGGCCGGGAATAATGTAGCGGCTTAGGGCCTTACAGTTATAGAAAACTACATCATACTGATCAGCGACCGATTGCTAATGTAATTTTATCAGGCGTTTACGGACTCTGTGCGGCCAGCGTGGCGAATGTTCGCGCGCTCGACGCGAGTCGCTACTTCGATTCCGACTACCATATCTGTATGCCTTCTAAAATTAATAATAAAATACCAAATGACCAGACTTATACAAGAACTATAATGATCTTCTGTATGCAGTAAGAGAAGAAAGTTTTAAAATGTGGCAAGAGCACTTCGACCAGAGGTCGCTGAGCAAGGGAATCTGGTATCGGACGATCCAACCCACACTGTCTCGAGGCACATGGTTCGACCGAGCCAACATTAGCCGGTCAGAAATTTTAATGGCTTTTCGGCTTCGATCGGGACACATTCCATTGAACAGTTTTGCGTTTCTTATGGGTAAAGTAACTTCACCAAATTGTCCGGATTGTAATACAGTGAAAGACACATTATATTCTAATGGTGTGTGTCCGGAACGAGGCCGAACGTCGTTCAATAATACCTACCTCAATGGATGTTGGCAAAAGCAAACAGTACCTATTCTTGCGTCATCTCTATCAAAGGATGCAAGAAACTTATATAAATTAGTTAAGATAGGTTTTAGATCGTAAGAATGATTTGTTTATACCGATGAGGGAGCCATATTCAGTTTGTGATTAAACCCTCTATAATAAAGAAGAAAAAAAAACTCGAAATACTCATCATATCTCGCGAAAATGTTTAGTGATAATACCTACATCTGTATTCTGAGATACAATCCTATTAAACGTTCGTTGTAAAGTAAGAAAAAAATATTTATTATTTTTTCCCGATCTCAAAGCACCGATCACATCAATTTTTACGTTCACATATTAGAATGCGGCCGCTAGCCGACAACTGTGCGTGCGTCATACGCTGTGACGTCACACGCCTGGTCGCTCGCGCTATCACACCGAGTTAAATATAGAATACAGAACGAATCAAAAAATATTAGGTACAACATGTAATTGATAATTGAATTAACTTCTTATCATTTTATGACAATTTTTTTTTGTTTTGCTTGTTGTAATTATAGTGAATTAAGACACGGGACCTACAGAGTATGCTCCAAAGTCCAAGATTTAGTTTCAAAATATGATACTTGTAAATTATCGACGCCGCAACGACATGGTCCTCGCGAAAAAAGAACAAACGAAAC